AGAGTTTCCATTAATAAATGGCCTCTTGCAAGAGATGATATGAGTTTTATCAATGGTGTCCCACTTTACCAATGTTAAAATCTGGTCACCTTACCCAATGAGCCCTCAGGGCCTCCGGGCCTGAGAGGCCAACGCTGCAGCTCTGTGAAGTAGCCGAGAGGCCACCACACCCACAGCCAGCAGAAACACGGGACAGTGGGTCTTTATGACAGCAGGAAGCCTCATAGCTCTGAGCGAACTGCCGACGGCGCAGAAAGCAGCCCAATTCCTAACCCACTGTGCCACCAGGGCTCCTCAGAACGTGTCTGGATATCAGCCATTTGTTCCTAGGAAGAACGTGTCTAACCAACCGGCTGATGCCCACACCTGGAGCCCAAAACTCACTGCCCACCCTCCCTCCTCCTGCAAGCAACTGTGACCTTTAGATTTCAGAGGACTCTAAAGCTGATACTGAATCCATCGTGAGCCCCTTAACTTTCCTTTGTTCTCTAAGCATGAAAACCTCGAACGCCACGCAGACAGTGTTGCTCCACCTCCCCGGGGGCTGCCCCTCTCTGTTACCAAGCAGGATGTCCTTCTCCAGGGACTGGTCTCTCCTGACAGCGTGTCCACAGTACATGAGATGAAGTCTCCCCTCCTCCCTTCGAAGGAGCAGTCTGGCTGTGCCTCCTCTGGTCTTCCGGCAGTCCACGGGGCTTTCCACGTCTTCATCGGCACCGTCAATCAAGTGCATCCGACCTTCTTCCGTTGTCTTCCTCATCAATGTCCACCTTGCCCACGTGTAGGAGGAGATTGAAAATACCACGGCTCGGGTCAGGTACACCTCAGTCCTCAAAGTAACACGCTTGCTTTCCAGCACCTTTAAAGAGGTCTTGTGCAGCAGAATTTCCCCAATGCAACGCATCATGTGATCTCGTGACTGCTGCTTCCATGAACATTGATGATGGATCCGAGCAAGACGAAATCCTTGACAACCTTGGTAGTCTGTTCTCAGTCTGGAAGCTCCGTTGCAACCTGTGCACTGTGGGTGACCCTGCTGGTACTTAAAATACCAGTGACACAGCCTCCAGCATCACAGCAACACGCAAGCCACCACAGCCCGACAGACTGACAGACAAGTGGTGGGAGTACATACTAGGGTAAAC